GGGGGAGACTAATGAGGCCAGGCCTGGGGGGGTTACGAGAGAGGCGCTGGAGGGGGGGACAGGACAAAGGTTTATAACATATGAAGTGGCAAAGAGACGGTCCCAGGGAGCAATTCCTGGCCGTCTCTTGCCAGGCAAGGACGAGGGGTCCCGGCACAAAACGAGCAGGCTGGCAGTGTAACATTGACACTGGGACAGTCGCTTCCCCCCGCGAGGGGTGAAAGGGGGGAGCTCGCAGGCACCGGGTGCCGGGGGAGCGGAGAGTTCAGCCAGATCCACCCGGAGGCTGGGCCCGTGCTGGGGGAAAGGGGCATCGGGGGCTGTGGGGCACGGGAATGCAGGGCACTGCCTTGGGGTCGCCACGTCCTGGACCCTCAATGGGTGTGAGGGGGAGAGGAACGGGGGGAAACCCTGCTTGGACCCTGTCCCTCTCCCATCCAGCGCCGCTCTTTGCTGCCCTGGCACCCCGGGGACCGGGCAGGATGGACCCGGGGTCTGACCCAGCACGTAGCAACTCTTACGATCTTAAATGATATACGTCTCAGGTTAGCAGGCACGTATTCAGTGTGTGTGGGGGTGGGGAGCAGCCCGGCCCCACCGACAAACCCCAGCAGTTTCAACCAGAACCAGAGACCCTTGTGAACTATGTGAACCTCGGGTTGGGGGAGGGGAGACCCCAAACTCCCCGAGTCCCCATGAATCGTGGCGGGAAGGATCTCAGTGGAAGCTCTCTAAGCCAGGGCTTCTCATCTTGCCTGGCAGCGTCCACAGGTGGTGGATGAAGGAACGACCTTCGCTGTGAAACAAGCAGGGGGATCTCTGCCTTGTAAGCTGCCGCGGACCAAGCAGCCCCCCTTGATAAATACCAATTATTAGGTTTATTATTATTATTATTATTATTATTTTTTTTTTTTTTACTAGAGAACAAAAGCAGGGAGATTCTCCTCTTGCAAAGAACTCGGGTCAGAACAGGGCAAGGGAATTTGGGACGTTCTGGCTTAACGTATTTCTTATAATTACTTTACGTGACAAAAATTTGCTGGTAGCACTTAAGGTGGTATCGTTTTAAATCGGCGGTGTGCAATCCATCAGAGTTTGGGCACCGCTGCTCTAGGGTTATCTGGCGGCATCTTGTAGCACCCTTCAAAGGGTTTTGCAGCTCCCCGGGTGAGACCCAAAGGGTAAACCAACCGTGGGAGCTCCTTTGCGAGGATCGGACACAACTTCTGCTGTGCCGCGGGATCATGAGGAGGCAGCGCGTCGGTGTGTGTGGGATCCACCTGGGGCTGAGGTGGGGCGGGGTATTTCTTGAGGCCCCCGGTATAGACTACAGGCCCGCTCGGTAAACACAGGCTTAGGGAAAAAGAAGAGTTGTTTTCCTGTCGCCATGAATGAGACCGGAACTGGGCAGGACCGCCGCGATCCTCTGGATTCCCTCCCGGGTGGATTGGGTGAATCACGTTTGCCCGCTTAACAGTGCGCGGCCGGCCAGGGTCCCCTGGGAAGGATCTCCAGGTGCTGCAGGGTGCTGGATCATCCCGGTTGAGAGTCGCTGCTCCAGGCACCGCCAGTTGTTTTCCTGTCGCCATGAATGAGACCGGAACTGGGCAGGACCGCCGCGATCCTCTGGATTCCCTCCCGGGTGGATTGGGTGAATCACGTTTGCCCGCTTAACAGTGCGCGGCCGGCCAGGGTCCCCTGGGAAGGATCTCCAGGTGCTGCAGGGTGCTGGATCATCCCGGTTGAGAGTCGCTGCTCCAGGCACCGCCGTCGGCAATCCCACGCCGTCATGGATGATGGCTGTCCACGACCCCCGGTTGAGAGTGGCTGCTCCAGGCACCGCGGCCCCGTCGAGGAT